TTAAGCTTAACGGTGCTTAACAAACCCGTACAACTTGAGAGTTCGAGTCACACGAACCTCAACGAATCTTCGAAGGAAACAACCCTTCCTTCGAACAACAAGAGAAATACTTTCTCTTGTCAAGTGTCTAAGAACACTAAAAACACTCAAGAACAATACTCTCTTTTAGAGTGGATAATGAGTAACTAAGAACGCTCAAGAACACACCACAAGCTTCACAAAAATGGCTTTCAAAAAGCTATGAATAAAGGATGAATGATTTGCAATGAAGGAGTAGAGATTGTGAAGTAATGTGTTGATGTAAAACAGACCCAAACACCCCATTTTATAGTGGAAAAATAGGCTCCAACGGATCAAAACATTTAAGGGGCGATTGGCACAATTTGTGGGATTTGATTAAATTTGGATTTGCTGAAATTCACCCAGACAGTGCTGTCCTAGGCTTGGACATCGCTGTTCTAGGCTTGCGTTTTGAAAATTGGGAAACAACGGTCATGCCAACAGCGATGTCCAATAATCCTACATCGCTGTTTTGGCTGTTGACTTCCAAACAAGGAAAGTTTTAGCCTTAAATCCCTTCCAACGGTCAGGTCCCTACATCGCTGTTCAATACTTGAACATCGCTGTTTAGGTCAGACTTTCTAGTGTGCAACATCGCTGTTGGAAGACTTAACGCCAAACTATGGTTTTCAGCTGCTCAAGCCAGACAGCGCTGTTGGTTGCAGCAACATCGCTGTTGGGCTGGTTTAGCCAGACCCATGGTTGGTTTAGTCATGCCGTTAGCCGATGTCAAAAAAACGTAAGTTCTCCGAAATAAAAATCAAGTGTTGAAAACATTTGTTTATTGAATTTTGCTAAGAATTCAAGTAAAACAACTCAAAAACCACGTCATTTAGTTGAAAACCACGGCTAACCAAGTTTGTGTCGTTTTGCATGGTTTTCACTAAACGACCATAAACGGAAGGTGGTTTTTGAAGGGTTTTTGTTCGAGAACTGTTTAAATATGCCCAGAAGTAAAACCCAATCAAAAAAGTTAAAAACCACTTGGTGGGTTCGGATGCCCAAAAACCAATGCCGAAAACCGAAAGCCGAACGCCGGTTTCTGAAAGCCGAACGCCGGATGACTTGGTTTTGGGTTTGGGCGAACTCCAAGTGTTTTTAGCCAGGTTTAAAAACTTATGAAAAACATTTTCGAATTTGCAAAAAGCGTTTTGATGCAATGAGCCTAGAGAGCCAAGATTTGGAAGTTTGTGCCGGTCTTGATCACATTAAGACCGACTCGATGCAATTCTAATTCTTTGTTCTTGATTCTTGGTTCTTGGTTCACATGTCATCATGCCGTGTTTCTTCGCCTTGGTTTTGCTCACTTTAGCCTTGTTGTGTCATGGCGGTTTGGCATTATCAAAACCTGTCGTAAAAACAAACACAATTTACTACGACGTAGGCGTAAACCCGTGTTCCAACAATTTCCCCCTTTTTGATAATGGCAAACAAGACGGGGATATGCATATTAAGGAATATTTGATCTTCAAAGAGTTGTGAAAAAGTTCCCCCTTAATTTGTGCTTAAAAGAAATTAGTCGGATTAAAAACAAACGGTCTCGTTTTTAGAGGCGTTCCCCCTTAGTATATGCATAGCCCTTTTTTTCCCCCTTTTGACATTAACAAAAAGATAACAGATAACTTTTATTTATTAAAGATGGGAAATAGCGGAGTACAATGGAAGCATTAAGAAACATGATAATTAAAATAAAAGAGATAGAAATTCTAGGGGCGTCCTAGTCTTCGTCTTCGGTTTCCTCCTCCTCGTCGTCGTCGTCCATCTCATCACTGTCAACGGCATCGTTAAACTCGTCCTCGTCCGGGGAGCTTGACGGGGCGTAGGAGCCATCCTCTTCGTCCTCGTCACCGTACACTTGCCCAAGGAACGTGCCTTGGTACGGTGGGGGGACGTAGTTGACGCGTTGGAAGTATGCGTTCATGGCGTGCCCTTGGCGTTGACAATTGTAGTTTTTTGGGTAGCAAACCTTCCAAGTAAATGGTTAGTTTTCTCTCCGAGTGTCGTGTCTCTCGAGGAGTGGACGAAGGGAATCAGTTTAATTACGATAACTAGGCGAAGGTTAGGATTGGTTTATGAAAGTCTTCTCGAAACGATTATAAAAAGAGCAGAGTAAAAATAATAAATTAATTTTACATAGTATAAGTGTAGATCTGGACCTAGGGTCTGGACATCATTTGGATTTATTTTATCATATTAAATCAACAATTGGAATAATAATATTTCTATTACTACTCATCCATTTCTAGATTTGTACTTAATCCGTTGTTCTTGAATATCGTAGCCTTTTGGCGTACAATATTTTCTCAATAAATAGCTAATTAAATCTTTCAAGAATAATTAACTAAATAAGGCAAGAACAATTGACTAATCATTCCAACATTAATTTAACATCAAAAATAAACAACCAAACTAGTCCGGACCCAGAGATCTGGACCCTAACTCATACTATGCAAACACAAATTAAAACAACATTTTATTAAATAAAGAAAACTTACTATTTCCGTAAAAGCGGAACAGAACAGATCGGGAGTCAAATCCTCCGGAAAATACTTAAAAATAATAACTAAACTAATATACAATGAAATATTGACTAAAATAGTGGAGAAACCCGAAATGGGTTGTGAGATCGTTGATAAAAATGAGAAGAATCGTGCTATATTTATAGGAACGAATCCAAGGCGTCCAAGTCCAAGCGCCTGAGCTGTCCCGGCCAACCAGATTTTGCCACGTGTCATTCTTGGGCTGCAATTAAGCCCAAGCGTCCAACTCCCAAGCGTCCAACTTGGCCAAGCGTCCAAGTTGGACGCCTTGAGGCCTTGGTCCGTTGGGCTTCGCGGCTGTTTCGTGATTTTGGCCCAATTTCGCTCCGTTTTGGTCCCGAACACTGTTTTTGACATCCCGGAAGCTCGTTCAAGCCCGAATCTTGATCCCTTGATGATTTATTCCCTTTTTCTCAAGTATTTGAACATAAAATGGATGATTTATGATAATTTCATGTGGAATCCCTTTTCATGACTCTTAGAACAAAAATGAGAGTTTTATTCATTGAAAACACATTTTATGAGATGATTAAATACTATTTACGTGCAATAACGTTTAGAATATGATGTAAATGATAAGAACGAAACGGACTTATCAAATTCCTCACACTTAAACGTTGCTTGCCCTCAAGCAACAAATTGAATAATTACAAATATAAAGGCAAATTAATAATTGCAGAGGGTAGGTTTAAGCTACATATTATGAAGGAAAAAAGAAATAAGATAGTCATCAACCTTTTTGTTAAGAAGAAATGAACCTTTAGATTCTCACCCATAATGTTAGAAATGTTAAAGAATTTTGTCAAATCAATATTTTTACACCAACCCAAACAACCATAATTTTCCAAACTTTCTTTGGGATTATAACATTTGTAAGAGTACTTTAAAGATCAAATAATTTTTTTAATGACTAAATTGGAAAACATGTTCTTGCAAAAGTATTTGTCAAAGTGTAAGGGTTTAATTTTCTTTGGCACAACTTTGTCATGTTGACACGAGAAAAATTTATAACCTCATCTTGTGACATAGAACCACGAGCTTTTTGGATATTCACTCTCGAAAGTCTCATCACACGACATAGAACCGCATCCTTTTTTACTCTAACACTCAAAAGGCCTCATCACGCAATATAGAACCACGTGCTTTTCGGCATACTCACCACGCCTCATCAGTTGACCTAAAACCAACTGCTTTTTGGCTAAACCAAGAATCTCGGTCTCACCAAAGTATACTTTGAAACATCAACCCTTATACGTTGAAAATAACTCTTTTCAAGAAACAACAGATACTCCTAAAAGCACCAGCAAAAAGATTTTCAATAAAGCACTTAAAAATTAATTGATCTAAAAAAACTCTTAATAAATTGTGAATTTATCCCAAATCATTTTAGAAAACATTCCCAAAAGGTTGGAGTAAAAATAGAAGTTTGACAAAAATTTTAAAAATTTCCAATTTCCACGGGTGATAACTAAAGAGTAATTAATCAAACAATTAAAATTGATGACTATTCTATAAAAATCTTTTCCTAAAAATATATAGACAAAACAATTCCTAAAAAGATCATTTCAACCAGGAACTCTTACCTCGAGTGTGAATTTGCCTTGGTGCGGGAGCACCGATTTTCATAAAACCTTAACCTCAATTACCAACTTTACGAGTGTACGTTAATGATTCAATAGAGTTATGAATGTTCTAAGTTGCTACTTCTAACTTTAAATAGATAACCATAACATGAAAATATGAAATAATGCATAAAATATTCTCAAAATGGTTTTAAGAGTCATGAAAAGAAGAATTCTAACGTAAGATCATATAAATATCCAAAATTAATGTTCTGAATGTAGTAATAGGAAAATTAAGGATCTCACTATCCTTGACGTTTGCTTTGTTTAGGACATGACCCATGCTCGGCTTTCTTTGTTTCCTGTTCCCGGACGTAGTCAAGTATTTCCTCCACCTGCCACTGCTGCGTGAGAAGGAGCGTCTCCATGCTCCTTAAGCAAGAATCTACAGAGTCTTGAAATGCAAACATAGCTTGCGAAAGCTCGCGAAGGGTCATAGGAATCGTATGCTGCCTTCTAGGACGTGCCTCCTGGTATTCCTTATTATAAACAATCTGGGCCAAATAATGTTTCGGTGGTCGGAACATGCTTGCAGCTTCTGGAAGAACATTGGGAACAGACATACATAATCCTCGGGCCAGAAGCGTAACCATTGGCCCACACAAGACAAACTGGTGGTTGCAAGTTGACTGAGCAAATAGGAATCGAGCCACAAAAGTCACTAGATTGACTGGAACGCGAGCTTCCAGACTCCAAAAAAATAGCATATCAGAATTAAACACAACGTTAGGTTCTTGAGAGCGGCCGAAATAGCTAAGAGCCAATGCATGGTGCCAAATCCTCCAAGACGGTCGTGCCCAATTCCTAGCTAAGCTTGCTCCACTGTGAAATCGACCATGCCCATGAGCTTGCCAGAACTTTCTAGCATCGAATTCTGGATCCAACTGGTCGGGCAGATTAGCGAAGGCCAGGCTCCGCGTTTCATCAAGCGTGTAAAGACCAATCAGCCACCCTAAGTCTGCCACGGTAAGGTTCAGCAGTCATCCCATCAGAGTGAACGTGACCTTGGTGGTGGAGGTGACTTCAACAGCTGACTTTACTTCCTCTCCGTCATTGAGGAAGCGGAGAGAGCAAAGAAACTCAATGGTGACTTCCAAGCTGGCTGGTGCATGCAGGAATAGCAGGATCCTCCATTTTGGGTCGTACAGCAATTCATCAATGTCCTGCCAGTGCCCCAGTTGGGCCTTGGTCCATTGGGCTTCGCGGCTGTTTCGTGATTTTGGCCCAATTTCGCTCCGTTTTGGTCCCGAACACTGTTTTTGACCTCCCGGAAGCTCGTTCAAGCACGAATCTTGATCTCTTGATGATTTATTCCCTTTTTCTCAAGTATTTGAACATAAAATGTATGATTTATGATAATTTCATGTGGAATCCCTTTTCATGACTCTTAGAACGAAAATGAGAGTTTCATTCATTGAAAACACATTTTATGAGATGATTAAAAACTATTTACGTGCAATAACATTTAGAATATGATGTAAATGATAAGAACGAAACGGACTTATCAGCAAGGTTGGCCCGGGCCTGGGGTTCGGCTAGGCCAGCAGCAAAACGGCGCCGTGGCGCGGCAGTGGCAGTGGCAGTGGTAGGTCCGGCGTTGTCCGACCGCTTCTTGAAGGTTTGGGTGCTCATCGCCCAAATCCTCGTGGCCTTCGTGAGTGGGCCAATGGTGGTGGTCACCCTGAACCGTTCAAGGATGTCCATCACCACAAACGGGTACGGGAGGAGGTGATCGTGGTCGGTGGACGCGGCAATCGTCATGTTGATCATGACAAACTTTGCCCAATTGATTGGGGCCGAATGCATGATCGCATGGATGAGCTTGAGGTCCTCACCGGACATGATTGTGTGGCCGTGCTTACGGGGTTTGATGATCCGGGACACGATGTAGAGAACATGACGGCCTTCGGGGTTAGCGGAGTGGATGGTGGGGCGGCCCGAGGCATTGCGGATGAGCTCGGTGATGCCAAGCTCGTTGAGGATAAGGCCATCGTTGTTGAGCACCCAGTCCTCTCCGCCATAGTGGGAGACGTCGTCGCCTTGGTAGGGGAGGCCGGCGATGCACCCAAGCTGCTCAACGGAGAGCTCTATCGGCGTGCTCTTGACAAGAGAGTAGAGCACGTCGCCCTCACGCCGGAGGTTGGAGTAGAAGACCCGAATCAGCGCCGGGTTGATCTCCTTCCGAGCCCAGGAGACGAATGGCCAAAGGCCGGCTTGATGAAGCTGCGCGTCGAGGTTGTCGTAGCCCTACAGCTTCGGGTAGCGCTCCGGGATGATCCGTGGAGGAGCCACAACCCGTTTAGAGAAGAAAGTGAGAAATCGGGTGCGCTCCTCCTCGGAATCGAATCAGAGGTACGATCCGTCGCCATAGTAGAGGCGTTCCTCGGAGGATGTCGTAGGCACCCGGGATTTGGACTTTGATTTCCCGGAGGTGGCAGCCCTGCTCTTGTCCTTGCCCATGAAAAGAAAACTCAAAAGAGAAGAGTAGAGATGATGAAATAAGCAAAGATATTGAAGAGAATTGTGTTTGTGTGTGTAAAAGTGAGGAGAGGGGGTCCCAATTTATAGAAAAAGAGGTCTCCAACATCCAGATTTTCAAAAATATGGCTATTGGAGCAATTAATGTTGGTGCCAATGGGTATTTTTTGAAAAACAATTGACCAGAACAACGATGTTCTACAGGGGACATCGCTGTTGGGACAGCGCTGTTGTGCCCCTTTACAGTGTTGTTCTATGTCAAGTTTTAAAAAAAACAAGAGTCAATTAGACAGCGATGTTGGGTACCCTACAGCGATGTTCCCAAAGTTTCTGTAATTGTGTAAGGGTTTGAACCCATTTGAACAGCACTGTTGGGTTTCTCTACATCGCTGTTTTACGATTGAGAAAAATTTTGTAAAAGTGGACAGCGCTGTTGCAAAGGTGGACAGCGCTGTTGGAAAACTTTCTGGTTTTGTTTGAAAACAAGGTATAAGGGAAAGGGAACTCCCTGGGACAGTGCTGTTGGGCCTCCTGGACAGCGCTGTTTGCATGGTTCCCCCTGAGTACATGAACAGGGTACTTGCAAAAAAAAGGAAAAATTCTCCGACGCTCAAGTTAGTAAACGTTTAATAAGTTTAGATGCACAACTTAGATCATTGTGGATTCAAGAATTCCGAGTTCACTTCGAATGCGGAAGAACGACTCTTTCTCTAAAGGTTTTGTGAAAATGTTGGCTAATTGGTTGTGTGTTTCAACAAACTCAATTTCGACATCACCTTTGAGAGCATGATCTCTAATGAAATGATTCCTAATGTCAATGTGTTTCATCCTTGAGTGAAGAACGGGGTTCTTCGTCAAGCTTATGGCGCTAGTATTATCACAACGAAGAGGCACGTGATTGATACTACGGCCATAATCCACGAGTTGTTGCTTCAACCAAAGGATTTGAGCACAACAACTGCCGGCGCCTACATATTCCGCTTTGGTTGTGGATAACGCAACACTGACTTGTTTCTTGCTAAACCATGAAACTAAAGAGCTACCAAGTAAGTGGCAAGTCCCACTTGTACTTTTACAGTCCAATTTGCAACCGGCAAAGTCCGAGTCGGAATAGCCAACGAGATGACAAGGAGAGCCTTTTGGATACCACTATCCAACGTTAACCGTGCCGGTAAGGTATTTCATGATCCGTTTTACCTCCGTTAAGTGTGATTCTTTCGGACACGATTGATACCTTGCGCAAAGGCATACGCTAAACATGATATCCGGCCTACTAGCGGTAAGATAGAGAAGGGATCCGATCATACCTCGATACTTTTTGACTTCTACTTTTGTACCTTTCTCGTCTTTTTCAAGATGGTCAGATGTGCTCATTGGGGTCGCCATGGCTTTGGCGTTGTCCATTTTAAATCGTTTTAGGAGCTCCTTGCAATACTTAGCTTGGCAAATGAACGTGCCATCTTTCATTTGCTTGACTTGGAGTCCCAAAAAGAATGTGAGCTCGCCCATCATTGACATTTCAAATTCGCTAGTCATTAGTGTTGAGAATTCCTTGCACAAAGACTCATTAGTAGCGCCGAATATAATATCGTCTACATAAACTTGAACCAAAAGGATGTTATTGTTTTTACTCTTGATAAAAAGTGTGGTGTCAACCTTTCCCCTTTGGAAACCACTATCCAAAAGAAATTTACTCAAACGTTCGTACCAAGCACGGGGTGCTTGTTTAAGACCGTAGAGCGCTTTCTTGAGTTTGAAGACATGTTCGGGAAACTCAAAGTCTTCAAACCCCGGGGGCTGGTCAACATACACTTCCTCTTGAATAAAACCATTGAGGAAGGCACTCTTAACATCCATTTGATAAAGTTTAAAATCCATAGACGAAGCAAAAGCAAGAAGTAAACAAATAGCTTCTAAACGTGCTACGGGTGCATAGGTTTCTTCAAAATCAATGCCTTCTTCTTGATTGTAGGGAAATCGATGCTCGGATCGAAACAAAGATCACTAATAAGGTAAAAGTAGTTCAAACAATGCCTTGTGGGTAAAGCATGGTTATTAGCATGCTAGTAGCCCGGAACCGTGGTTAAGGGTTTGCAGTAAGGCAAACTTAACCAAATCGAGGAGAACGTATCGGTAGGTCCAATGTTCATCGTTTATTGCTTCGGAAATGGATGTAGGTTCAATTTGAGAAACAAAAGCCATGTGACCTACGGTGTCCCTAAGAGAATTACGAGTACTTACCCCGCGGTTGATGCTGCCAATTACCTGGTCAAGTGGATGGTTCTTATGCGTTCTCCAAACTATGGGAAGCTCGGTTTCCTCTTGTTCCTGGGCTTCCTCTTGTTCTTCTTTGTTCGCTTGGTCCTCATTTTCGACCATCACTTGAGGTGTTTCCTCATGTTGTGGTTGCGGGTTGGTGTATAATGGTGTGTTTTCTTCATCGTCTTCAACCTGTAATCTTTCGAGTGAATCTACAAGATCATCACAAATAGCCTTTCTCGCCAAGCGAGCATTATCGAACCAATGCCGATAATCTTTCCCTTGCTATTATCTCCAAAAATTACGTTTCCTCCTTTAGCGGGTTTGATTTGGAGAAACTTGGATGCATCCCCGATCATGTGCTTGGAGCATCCGCTATCAAGGTACCAAAGTACACTTGATGCCTTCAAGCACACCTATGAAAACACATCAATGAGTATTAGGTACCCAATTTACGTTGGGTCCTCGGGTGTTAGGTGTGTGATGGTAGTGTGCTTGATTTTGTGATAGGTGCTTATGCTTAGTGTAACAAACGGGAGCAATATGGCCTATCCTATTACAATAATGGCAAACTACGTAGGGATTGTACATGTGCCTAGGTTCATAATAGTTAGAGGGTTTGACCATTTCGTTCCTATTTTGTGAAAACAATGGTTTTTGAAAATTTTGAAACTGGCCTTTTCTAGGTGCTCTAGCATTATTTCTTCTAATTTGAGAAAATTCGTTTTTATGCACAAAATCATTTTTCTTAGGTTGCCTACCATGATTATTTTTGTTCCTAGGTTTTAGTCTAGGTTGTCTAGTGTCCTTAGGTTGACTAGGTTTTCTATTATCTTGATTTTTAGGTTTCTTATGTTGAACCTTAGAAAATTGTCTAGGTGCTGGCTCAACATTATCTTTAGCTTTATTTTTATCAAAACCTATTCCTTCCTTAGAAAAGTGCATAGTGTCAAAAAGTAAATTTAAGTCTTTGTGAGGAGTATTAAATTTCTTGACCGTGCTTTCAAGTTTAGCGACTTGCTCTTTTAAAGTTTTACAAGACCCACATTCACTTAATGAGCTTTCTGGTTTGTCAGCGCTTCTTTTTCCAAAAAAATTGTTTTCTTGTTTAAGTATTTCATTTTCTTTTTCCAATTTTTCAAAATCGTTTTTAAGTGAGGAAAGACGTTTCTTCAAAGATTTATTTGTTTTAGAAGCGCTAACAAATTCCTCATAAAGTTCATGAAGTGCTTCTTGCATTTCTTCAAAAGTATAGGAGTCGGAAGAAATGGTACATACCTCTTGGATGTCGTCGTTTTGATCTTCGTGCGCCATGAGATGTAAGCCCTTTGCTTCTTGAAGCCAGGCTTATCCTTGCGGTGTTTCGCTTTTGGACACCTTGGCTTGATGTGGCCAATTTCGCCACAGCCGTAGCACTTGGGAGGACCGTCGTGCTTTCTTCCCTTCCGCTCAAATTCCTTCTTCATGAACTTGTGGAACTTTTTGATGACAAGTCCAAATTCGTTGTCATCATCGCTTGAAACCTCCTCTACGGTCTCCTTGGTTGCTTTGAGCGCTATCCCTTTCTTCTTTTGTTCATCCAAAGACGGCGTTAGAATAGTAAATTCATAAGTTTTGAGGTTACCTCTTAGCCCGTCGATGGTGACATTTTGAGACTCCGATGGATTCGTAGATTGCATCGGCTTTTGACCTCCATTCGGGTGTGAGACTCTGCAGGATTTTCCTCACGAGATCCTTGTTGGCATAAGTTTTTTTTAGAGCATGAAGGTCTTTGATGATTTTTGAGAACCGGTCGAACATGTCATCGATTTTCTCACCTTCTTTCATTCGGAACATTTCGTACTCTTGAGTGAGAAAATCGATCTTGGCTTCACGAACTTGATCAATACCTTCGTATGTCACTTCAAGCTTGTCCCACATCTCCTTGGCGGTTGTGCAGCAGGAGATTTTTCGGTAGTCATCGGGGTTGACCGCACAATATAGCATATTGATGGCCTTGGCATAATTCTCAATCTTCTTGATGTCCTCGGCATCAAACTCATCTTTGGTCTTGGGGATCAACTTGTCGTCAACTTTCTTCATCGGGATTTCCTCTCCGTTTTTGATGACCAACCATAATTGGAAGGTTGTGGAACGGATATAGATTCTCATCCGTTCCTTCCAATAGGAATAGTTGGTTCCGTCAAAGAGTGGTGGCCTAGAAGTTGATTGACCTTCTCCAATTCCTGCATAGAGATTTCTAGAAGAAGAACCCATGATCGCTTTACTCTCAAACGGTTAAGTTTGGACGCGAGTTAGGCTCTGATACCAAATGTTAGAATAATAGACCAACGCTAGAGGGGGGGTGAATAGAGTTTGATCAGGAAATCGCAGGAATAAAAATGAATAAACGAGAAGTAAAGAGAAGAGTAAGAGGCACGCCGATTTTACCCTGGTTCACCACAATTTGTGGCTAATCCAGCCTCCCGAGAGACTCTATCGAGCTACACTACTATCTCGTTAAGCTTAACGGTGCTTAACAAACCCGTACAACTTGAGAGTTCGAGTCACACGAACCTCAACGAATCTTCGAAGGAAACAACCCTTCCTTCGAACAACAAGAGAAATACTTTCTCTTGTCAAGTGCCTAAGAACACTAATTTTTCAGCATGCTTGGGAGTATTGATTGCACGCATTGGGAATGGAAAAATTGTCCCACTGCGTGGCATGGTCAATTCTCCCGGGGAGATCATCCCAATCCTACTATCATGCTCGAAGTTGTTGCTTCAAATGACTTATGGATTTGGCACGCTTTTTTCGGTGTCGCGGGCTCGAACAACGACATCAACGTTCTCGATTAATCGCCTGCTTTTGATGATTGGATTAATGAGACCGCACCCGACTCGTCTTTTGAGCTTAGAGGGACGCTTTACAAACATTGATATTACTTGGCCGATAGAATATATCCAGATTATTCCACGATTGTCAAATCCCTCTCCGAACCAATGGGTCTTAAACGCCAGACCTACAAAAAAGCTCAAGAGGCGGCGAGAAAAGATATTGAATGAGCCTTTGGGGTCTTGAAGGGTAAATGGCACATTCTAGATCGACCGTCGAAATGTTTTTCTCAAACGAAAATGAGGAATATTATGTACGCATGTATTATTCATCATAATATGATCATAGAGGACAACAAGACTGCGATTTGTCAATACAACCCGGACGAGGAGGTGCCTATGTACGAAGAAATCAAAGAAGAAACCGCCAAGAAATTCAAAGCCGAGAGATTCACAATGCCCTAACGGCGGATTTGATCGAACATATCTTTAGTCGCTCAAATAATTACTAATTTGTTTGTAGTGTTGTTTTTTTTTATGTAATATTTTTTTAATGAATGTAATTTTTTTATGAATGTAATATTTTTTTAATGAATGTAATTTTTTTAATGCACTAGCCTCATTGTGATTAATTTAAATAATAAATTAATTTAAATTTATTAATTTAAATTTAGAAGATGTATATTTAAAAATGTAAAAAATGAAGGTTTGAAGCCTCTGTTTGAAGCCCCGGGGCTTCAAACCAATTTCCACTAAATCTGTGAAGTAAGTTAAAGTTGACGTGACAAAGAGAGAAATTTTGAAGCCCCAATTTGAAGTCCCAACGGTTCAAGAGTATTTATAGTGCTATAAAAGAGGTTCAATCCAACATATGTCGGGACAAATGTAAAAAAACACAATTAATATCGTTGTATCTCATCTCATGTAGTTTATTTGATGCAAAGTACAATACTATGGCAAAGGTATAATTATTTTAATTAATTTAAACTCGGATATTACTTCCTCCGTCTCAATGGAAATTATCTCTTTCAGTTTACGATGTTTGAATGAAGTTATTTTTCAAATTCTTTTATATTAAAAAACGATGTAGAATTAAAAAATAAAAATTACATATTAAAAACTATATCAAAAGATCTTCAAACTAATTGTGATTTTATTATATTATTTCATCGAATGACTAACGAAAATAAAGAAAGAAACTGAATTATGTTGGATGAATAGTATACACAAAATCTAATTTGAAATTGATATACTCCCCCCATCCTAAAACCATCTACTTGTTTGTGTTTACGAAGTTTGACCGACTTTATTTTCAATTCAATTTATTTGATTGTAGGTGTAAAATTAAAAAATAAAATTTACATATTTAAAAACTACATTAAAAATTCTACAAAACGAGAATTGACAAGACTATATTATTTTATCGAATAAGTAGCAAAAATAGGTAAAGAAAGTGATTTAAGTTTGATCGTGTGATTAGTAACTGGGAAGATAGATTTAGTAGGGAATAGGGATGGAGTAGTAGTTTTTGGACCCGTTTGGAAAATATCTTTAGCGATTAGCGTTAGCGTTTTGAAAAGGCTATGTACTTTTAAAATAATCTACACCATTAAAATCTTATCCAAAACGCTAACGCTAATCTCTAATGTTATTCTAAAATAGACCCAAATTAACAACTTGGGAACGCCTACGGGCGGTATAATTAGGCTTTGTTTGGTAACAGCGTTTTCGATTAGCATAGCATTTTGGATAAAATTTTAACGGTGCAGATTAATTCTAAAAACGCTAACGCTAAAGGCTACCGTCGGATAGCTTTTTCAAAACTATAAAGCTAATCTCTAACGCTGATGTCAAACAGGGCCTTAATTTAGATGTACTATTACTACCAGCCATACCGCACCACAGTTGTAAAGACGAAAAAGCAGGAGAAATAAGAATTGCAGAGTTTGAAAGGGAATTGATTTCACTGTTTGTTATAGCCATCTTGCTCCTGACAATATACGGTGTATAAATCTCAGGACAGCGACTACTCCCATTTTGCTTTCCCCAGGTTTTTTTAGACCATCCTACACTTACACTATAATTTGTACCCCAAATATACAGCAAAAGTTCACATTGAGACATAGTATTGGTTCATTAACAAAAATTAGCATTACACCAATACAAAATATTGATGCACACCTGCAGTGTACAAATGGGGTACAAACCCTTGGGATACAAATAACTTTATCCTTTTCTTTTCTTAAAAAAAGCAAGAATCTTTTTTCAGGTTGGATTCAATTTCCTTTTGTTCTTAAAATGGACTATGCTACACTTATACCAAAAAATATACCTCATTTCTACACCACAGGCTTGCACAAACGTTTCGATGGTGTACACCGACACAAGTGTTGGTGCGTTAATAAATATTCACACGGACACAAATGTTGGTGCGTTTAACAAAAATTAGTTTTACACCAACACAAAGTGTTTTGTGTTGGTGCAAAACTGCGGGGTACAAATTGGGATACAAACCTTGGGGTACACATAGCATAATCCTCTTAAAATGGACATACGGAGTACTCCATAGAAAATTCCCAAAATAATTTGGTCTAATAATCTATTTTCACAAATTAGTTTTTACTCCCTCCGTCCTAAAATTTTCTTCCCAATTCCTCTTTTTCTCTGTCCTAAAACTACCTTCCCATTAGAAAAAAAAGATGACAAATGACATTAATACCCTCATGTATTTACACCAATTATCTTCTAATTCTATATTTTGAATGATTGCAAAAAAAATTCAAAAAATCTTTTTTAAGAAGGGTAAAATTTGAAGTCAAAGCCAAAAATTAAAAATGGAGAAAAGTCAAACTGAGAAGAAAGTTTTAGGACGGAGGAAGTAATAAGTAATACTCCTTTCGTCCTAAAATGTTCTTCCCACTCACTATTTACCCTGTCAAACTTTAATCACTTTCTTAACCTATTTTCATTAGATATTTGATAAAATAATATAGTCTTGTCACCACTTGTTTTATTGAACTTTTGATGTAGTTTTTAAATATATAAATTTTATTTTTAAATTTTACACCTAGAATTAAATAAATTCAATTGAAAATAAAGTCGGTCAAACATCGTAAAATAAACCGTGAAGAACATTATAGGACGGAGAGAGTAATTACCAACAAGATCCTTCATCATTGATATACATACCGTAAATAGTCTTTTATCAAAAATACCTATTAAATGATAATTAGATAGCGGATATTTTTATATCTTCATCATCTAAAGTAAGAATAAGTTTTCAAAAGGAAGAAAGACCAAAGTATAACTAAAATATTGAAAATATATTAAAATAGGACCTCCATGTTTTTATTCTCGAAATAGAACATAAAATGCATTTACATTACCAAACATGGTCATTTTCATTACCAAAAAGTATAGTAATGTGCACATATACAATGTCACATTGCCACAGTACCAAGTCCTATTTCGAAAATAAAAACATGAAAGTTCTATTTTGGTATTTTTCTTTATGTTTTAGTCCTATTTAGGGTGATTTCTACTTTTCAAAATGGTCATTTCTACCCCGGCCTTCACCAGAATCGTCCCTTCTGCTTCAGTTGTATCCCTAGTAAATCCAGATAATGGGGTGCGAATCGGCTTGAGATCCGCTCGAGACAGGCCCAGCTCCTTGAAGGTGTTACTGTACATAATGTTGACTAAGCTGCCTGTGTCGACCAGCGTGCAGTGGACCACCACGTTTTTGATCTCCACCTTTACCACCAGCACGTCCCGATGGGGACTAAGTACTGGCGGATAATCTTCATCTGTGAAGATTAAAGGTTCCTTCCTCTTCCGCTTGGGTAGCGGTGGTCTCTACACTTCCGCTAGGCAGACCATGTTCTTCCACTTCTTCCGCGAGGACGCCGAGTCTCCTCCGGTATTGCCGCCCATGATAAACCGACATCCCAAATGCCAGCGGTTCTGCCTTTCATCTTCATCCAGGTCCTCACAATCTCTCCCCAGATGTCGTCTTCCGTCTGCCTGCCCCGCCCCATTAGTGATCGCTGCGGCGGCGGCTGCCGGTCTCCTCCATGTCCTGTTTCCAGGCGCCTGCCTTTCCGCCCGAGGTGGCAGCCCTCTAGAGATCAGTTGATCCATCTCTTTCTTCAACGTAACGCACTCCGACGTATTGTGGATGCTGTTACGGTGGTACTCGCAGTACTTGGGGGCGTCTTGGACGCTATAGCTTTCCCGATTGCGAGGAGGAGCCGGTAGGGACTGGACCGCGTGGATTGGCGGTCTGCTCGCTTGATAACCAGTGGGGTTTGGTCCCCTTCCTAAATCTTTCCTTTTCCTTCCTTCGCCTGCTCGTTGCCCGCCCTTCTTCTCCTTGTGGACAGGCACTTCATCATCTTCTTCTTCCAATGCTAGATACTTTGCCCTGGCCAACATTTCCTGGTACGTGGGGAGTGGATTTCGTCGCAACTCTTTGCGCACATCCACTTGAGGGAGTGCTTCCTGGAGCATCATGATCAGGGCCTGGTCGTCCGCTCCCAGGACGTCCCTTGCTTCCTTCTCCCACCGGTTGATGAACTCCCGGAGTTGCTCTCTCTTCCGGATCTTGACATTGAGCACGTGTGAGAAGGGGATTTTTTGCCTTCGGCTTGACGCGAAGTGCTCCAAGAACTTGTGGGCCAGATCGTTCCACTTGTCGATCGACCCCTTCGGCAACTTGTGGAACCACTCACAAGCTTGCCCCTCCAGTGTGGCCAAAAAACTCCGACACTTAATTTCTTCTAGATAGGCGTACAGAACCACGTTTGCCCCGAAACGCGCAACGTGGTCTTGGGGATCGGTCGTCCCATTGTACGCTTTGATCTGGGGGGTCTTATAGTTTTCAAGGAGAGGACAAGACATCACCCTCTTTGAGAATGGGGTTACCTCACTGAAAACCGCCTGGTAGTAGGGATTCTGAGCATCCAGTCGCCTTTCTAGACGATCGAACATCCTCCATAACTCTACCGCCTCCTTGTCCTCGATCGCCTTGTGTCTTTCCTCCGAACAAGCCTTGGATGTCGCCGAGGATTCCTCCCTTCTTTCCCTGATCTTATCCCTCAGGTCACCCTTCCAGGCCGACCAGGTGTCCTGTAGTTGATCGAACGCAGAGGTCCGCGGCTTCTTCTGTTTTGGATCCCCCAACCGATCCAAAGCGGATGCCCGCTCGAAGGAGGACGATTCATCCTCCTTGTCCAATGTGGACAGATCATCATCCACCATAGCCTTCCCATTAGGCTTGGTCGCCTTCTTCTTATGGGAGCGCCTAGTTTTCTTCTTCTTTTTACCCTCAAAGGCCTCCGGTCCGGCCTTCCCCCCGGTCGGCACCCCGGTAGCGTCGTCCATCACATCCTCATTATTTGGGGTCAGGACCGCCATTACCTCCTTGAATTGATCAGCCGTGATCCCGATCCGCTGGATGAGGGCTTCGGCCTCTATTGCGCTGATTGGAGGGTGACGGCCTCTGGTGGCGCTGGTTTCACCCTGAGGAGGGTTTCCGGTGACTTGATTTGCGTTGCTACGAGTTTGCACAATTGTTCTCTAGAAGGTTTTCTCTTGAGTGTAGTTCTCGAACTCCCAATGAAAGCACCAATTTGATGAACAATAAATCCACCAAATGATCCGGCTTAGAACGGCGGATCGAAAGAATTAACAATGAACAAGAACTCGAGAATTATGATTTGATTTGCTTGATTCAACCTGAGGATCCCCACTTGGGTCATCCCTATTTATACATGATTTCTATGTAATTATGGTAGTTCACAATTCATGGAAACTCATCCACCAATGGCGCGATCCCCTTTCTTCGGATATATCTCCGTCTTCAGCAGAGTTTCCTCCCTTGATTCGGGCTCCTCCAGCTGTCGCTTCACTGGACTAGTCCAGGCCCAAGCTCTTGGGCCGGCCCAGAACCGCTGCATGCCCGCTCCAGTGACCCAGCGTCATTTGGGCGCGATGTTTGGGCCGCCCGTTGGGTATCGGCTCATCAAGAGGTGAGAAGACTATATTATTTTATGAAATAAGTAATATAAATAAGTAAATAAAGCGAGTTAAATTTGATTATGGGAATAGTTCCGGGAAGATTATTGACAAAAGGAGAGTAATTTTAAGACAAAACAAAAAATGTTTTGGCTTTCTAAAAATGGTCCTAATCTTTCATCCAAATCTCTGGACATTCTCAATCACCCATTTTCTTCTATGGAGTAGGGAGTAGAAATGGAGTTCATCATCCTCAGATTTGCTGTCCCCTCACCGATTCAGCCCAACAAGGAAGAAGAAGGAAATTCTTTCCAACTAAATGAAGAGAAAGATGAGGAAGAGGGAGCAAAAGTGACTTTTACCTTATGAGTTATGAGTTGTGTTTCTATGATCCTAAATAAAATGTGAACTTTTCACAATTTTAGATCATGTTCTATTGAACTAAAATTTTAGAGTTCGATGTTGAAAGAAACTGAAAGAAGTCGGAAAACGTTGCAAGAAATAAAGTGTTAAAAAATTACTCAATTAAATAATCATCCAAACAAATATGTAAGAAACTTTAATTTGGATTAAAAAACTTCATCTTTATGCATGTTTGAGGTGGTATGTTATAAATTTTGATATATAATATTATTGTATATTCATCATAGATAAATACTCCCTCTGCCCTAAAATAATTTTTTGAGTTCGGTTTATGAGAGTTGATTGAAATTATTTCAATTCAATTTATTTGATTATAGGTGTAAAATTAAAATGTAAAAATTATATATTTTAATACTATATCAAAAGTTATACTCCAAAAAACAAGAGATGACATGATTATATTATTTTATCAAATAACTAATGAAAATAGATAAAGAAAGTAATTGAATTTTGACCACGTAAATAATAACTAGGAAGATCATTTTAGGACGGAGGGTGTACCTTTTTTAAATCGTTGTAGGAAGACACTTGAAAAGGTTGGAGAAGTTGGAAGAAACTAGTAGGATTTGGAAGTTAACTTTTCTAACCCAAAAGAACAGGGTTAGTGGATTGACATGTAGATCTTTTATTTTTTTTCAAAGAGTCCAATTCATCCATTTTTTTGGTGGGGTTCTAGTGACACCCACCTTTGGGGACACTAGCGGTGCCACTGTTATTTTGGGACACTTTCGGTGCTCCATTCGTAAAATTGACAGTTACTCCCCCTAAACCCCCCACGCTACCCCCGCCTCTGCGCGCCCACCCCAACCCCGTCGTAAGCCCCCCCAAAAAATGGGTGGCTATTATGCAATGCATAATAGCCACACATTTTGTGGGGGGCTTACGGCGGGGTTGGGTGGAAATGCAGGGGCAGGGGTAGGGTGTGGGGTTTAGGGGGTGGGTTAGGGGTAGGAATCATCAATTTTACGAATGAAGCACCGGAAGTGCCCCAAAATGATAGTGGTACCAGATTGTCACCGTACTCTAGTATCACTAGAACCCCACCGATGTTTTTTTATATATTAAAGTTCATAAAATTAATATTAATCTTAAGACCATAGAAAAATTTGTCTTGATTTATTCGCTATTTTGGAAAATGGACAATTCAAAATAAAAGTGAAAAGATAATTGTAAAAAAATTAAAAATATTCTCTTATAAAATACCATAAAAATATGTATATATCAACATACTAATTTAATAAAATTTGAAAAGAGTGCTGTTATACCCACTCCAATTTTGGTTAAATCCGTCCATTTTATGTTAAATGAATAAATGAGCAAGACTCATCTAAAAACCATAGTTTTAAAAAACGGGACCGGATCGGCCGGTCCGGACCTGGAACAGGCGAACTAGATTCCAAACCGGTCCTGTCCAACCCTTCAATCCGCTACCGGATAAAACCGGCAAAACCCGGCCGGTTAAACCGTCAACCACTTTTTTTTGTTTAAAGTTTTCAAAACTTTCCACTGGGGTTTGAAAACTCATGATGTTACAGAACTTCTACCACCCCGATACCCATCCATTGTGCTATGATGCCACTTGTGATTATTTTGAACATTTCGTTATTTGTATCAAATATTCTTTAAGCATAAACTTATTTTTCAAATAACTTAGAAACATATACTCCCTCCGTCTCAAAAAGAATGGGACGATTTGACTTTTTGGAAAATTAAGAGAGGGATATTTTGGTATTGACTTTCCAAAAATACCCTTGATATGATGGATAAAAATAGGATGTGATGGGTAGATTATTAGAAAAAAAGGTATGATGTGATGGGTAGGGTATGAAAAAGTAAGGGGTAAAAGTGGTTTTTTAATAGAAATGTAACGGACTTTACGGGACGCAGTTTTTTTTAAACGTAACAAACTTTTTGGGAAGGAGGGAGTATATTATATTTGGGTTTTGAGCTAAGATTCAAAATCTAAACCATTGATATAATAGATATTAATAGGAAGTGTATATCACACAAATATTTCATTTATATGTATTTTAAATATTGGATAAATTACTTGAAAAATCATATCAACTCTTATTTTATAAAACTTTAATAAACATAATTTTTATTTTTTAATTTAATGCCACAACTGAATTAAATTAAATTGATTATAACTTTAGTCAAATATCATAATTATTTATTTCTAAATAGAGAAAATGTTATTTTGTTTAGTCATATATGACTTTTATAATTATATATATATGTGTGTGTCTGTCTGTCTATATATATATATATATATATATATATATATATATATATATATATATATATATATATATATATATATATATATATATATATATATATATATATATATATATATATATTATACATATATTATATGTGTGTGTGTGTGTGTGTGTGTGTGTTTGAACCACTGGTTCAACCACTTGAATCACTGGTTCGACTAGTAACCAGTGAACCAGTGCCTTGATCGGTTTGATCACCAGTTCGGTTCTAAAAACTATGCTAAATACCATCAAAATGTCTAGAATTAAATATATTTTTAGTCGATGTATAATTGACTACTCATGTTTTTGGTCTCTATAAAAATTTTCTATTAAGTAATCCTTATAGAAATTTTTATATTTAAAATGGTCTTTAACCGTAATTAAGACTTTCAATTTGTTGAGACAACATATTTACTTCCCACTCAACAACATAATCTTAAATTTTTAATTACCTCTGACACAATTATCATACCCTAAATTATGTTTTTCATCGAATGACATCTTTAATTCCCAAACTTTATTATATTATATTATCAAGAAATTTGAAAATTAGAGATGTAATATGAAAAAGGACAATAAGAGAATCGTGTCAGAGGTGATTAGAAATCCAAGACTAAAATACAAAAGAATGAAATGAATGTGTTATCTCAACTATTTTGAAGTGCTAATCACGTTTACCGACAATTTTTTAGAATAAATAATTTTGTAAGGAAGAATTAGGTAAAATATTTTAATAGAGATCAAAAACAAAAGTCTCTTACTTTACTAGAATTAAAATCATATTTAACCAAAAAATACAATGCAAATCTACAGTACATAAATTATTTTGGTTCTTCAAAAAAATATGGGAAATGTTAAGGGTACACGAAATGGTGTATCCTATTCGTACACTAAAACTTTAACTGACACACAAACACTCAATGTCTGTACAGATACAAATATTGAGTGTTTATAAAAATCTTGGTGTACAAAATGGTGTACCTCAAGCATTAATGGGAAAATTATGGTTAATTTAATTCCATATATGAGTAATTAGTGTTTATATTCTTCAAACTTTTTTAGTTTTATCGTTTATATTGATATTGGTATGATTAAAAAAGTATAGTAACCGTGGAAAAAATTCAGATGTGTGATCATTAATTTGTATTACTCTCTCCGTCTCAAATTAAACGATATGTTTACTAAATTTATTTTTTTATTCAATCAGATTTTCTTATAAACTGATTTGAAAATAATTTCAATCAAAAAACGTAAACGGAAATAAACACTTTAAAATAGAAGGAAGGAGTTTTAGTTTAATATTTCTCATATATCACATACATACATTAAATGACCTAATTTTGGAAATTCAATTTATTCAAATTCAGTTTTACATAGTGAAAATCAAAATTGAAACCGGATAATAATGGTTTGGTTTGGTTTTTCTCATTGATGTTAGTCTTTTCAAATCATTTTTTCATATGAACAAGCTCTTGAGGTTCGTACATAATAGAAGTTCACTTCACTTCACTTTTTTTCATATGAACAAGCTCTACGTAATTTTTTCTTACTTTCCTTTTTGAATTATTCACAAATTTTTTTCCCATTTTCTATTTTGAAAAAAAAAACTTTTAATGGATGAGCCATTATACCTCTACTTTTCATTTATAGAAGTCCTATTTTGGTATATTTTCAATGTTTTTGTCATACTTTGTTCTTTCTCCCATCTAATGATGCACAGTGAGTCAATAACTCTGCATCTGCTAATACTCGAATTTGAGTGAACTTCTACACGAATCTTGGAGAGTGGTTTTTGGGAAAAAAAGACTTAAGTATGAGTAAACCATTGA